TACCTCTGTGTGGGTTGAAAGAGAGGGTTCCTTTAGTCCTCATTAACTGTGCGACAATGAAAATGTGCCATATGAACTAGCAACCATCATCTGCCAGATTTGCTTAGGCTGGTTTGCAACAGCAAGCAAACTTGATGGAAGTAGAAAGATAAGGATGTCCAGGGGAAATATCTTCCAGGAGAACCCATTGAACCCCATATGTCTGACTTCATTTATCAACACTTTCATAATGTTCTAAGTGCTTTAAAAATACTGACTCACTTAATCTTTACAACAACCCTATGAGGTGGGTATTTTTGCTATTATTATTATTATTATCATCATCATCATCATCATTATCTTTAAATTACGGTTATGGAGACGAAGGCAAAGATAATCATTCAAGGTCTCACAGCTAGGAAATGGCAGAGATTTTGTCAAATCCAAACACATGTGGCCTTTAACCAACACATGATGTTATCTCTACTTGATGTGTGCCAATTTTTTTTCAAAATGGTTTCATAATTCTGTTTGAGATTTTGGAAAATGTTCGTGAAATATTTGTGTATTTCATACTCTATCTATATTAGGACATACTATATATACTTTTATATATAATAGCTAATAATGTGGTACAATAAAAATTAAAATAATTTTTCACTGTTTTGGAAGTAAACAGTATTTATATTGCATAATAATGTATGCAGTAAATATTTAATCAAAGTTTGTGACATGTGTACCTTCAGACTTGTTGAAGAGAAGCATGGCTGCAGGTGGGGTATGGAATGATACTAAACAAGTGTGTTAAATCTTTATCTAATAAAAAATAATTGATGTTTAAAATTTATAAGTCAAAGAAAAAGAATAGAATCAAGAATATTAAAGTAAATACTAAAAGAAATACACACAGCATTGAAAATGTGACCTACTGGGCCCGGCCAGTGTGGCTCAGTGGGCTGAGCATCGTCCCATTGACTGAGAGGTCCCTGTCGGATTCCTGGTCAGGGCTTATGCCGGGATTGGGGGGCATGCAGGAGGCAGCCGATCAATGTTTCTCTCTCATATTGCTGTTTCTGTCTCTCTCTCCCTTCCTCTCTCTCTAAAAAATCAATAAAAACATGTTTTTTTAAAAAGAAAGAAAATGTGACCTATTTGGAGTGAGATGTACACTGAAGTGGGTGTGGCGGGGATTATCTTCATTACCAGTAGTTTCGGTCGTTCAAATGTATCATCACTATATTTTAAATGCATTTTTGGACAAAATTATACATATACATACATATATATATATACATATATACACACATATATATTCATATATGTGTTTCAATTATATATTTTAAGATATTCCTTTAATATTGTTCAATTCTTTCACAGTTTAGTAAAGCAAGATTGAAATTGATATATTAAAAGAAAATAATTTATCTTAGCAAATGTCCAGTCAATTATACATAAACAAAGCGTCTGGGAGCACCTAAGTTGTCCAACCATCACTGAAATTGATGTATTACATCTGTCTCCCAACACATTTGAAATCCATCTAGAGTTTTATGTCAGTTATACTCCCCTATGCATTGCCTTCTCTCTTAAAGTATCAGTGATCTTCAGCAACGTAAGGAGATAAATTCCTCAGTCTAAGACAATTGAACAAAAGATCCTTTTACTAGGAAGAAGTAGAAGCAACATAGCAAAGAGGGCTCATTATAAGGTGCTAAAAGGAGGAAACGAAGTTAAAACAACAATAACAATACAACACTTGAACTTCTTCTCAAATTTCTAGAAGGAGTTTTCTTAGGTCCAAGATGCCTACTATCATTCTCTCTGCTGAAAGAAATTTCTAGGCCTCATTTTTCTGACATGTAAGAGAGAATTTAAAAAAAAATGATTCATTTATTTTATTTTTTTCCTTTATTGATTTTTAGAGAGAGAGAAAGTGAGAAGGAGAGAGAGAGAGAAACATCAATGAGAGAGAACATCAATTGGCCGCCTCCTGCATGCCCCCCACTGGGGATTTGGCCCACAACCTGGGCATGTGCCCTGACTGGGAATCAAACTGCTGACATCTTGGTCCGTGGGTCGATGCTCAACCACTGAGCCACACCTGTCGGATTGAAAAAAAGAAAAGATTTATAAGTTCTCCTTCACCTTTAACTTTTTTCACTATAAAAAAATTGTTAATAATTTTCCAACATGTTCACCTTTATTTTCTCATTTGATTTTTGAACAACACTTCCCAGTAGTCAGCAGGGCAGGAGCATTATGGATGGTTAAATAGCCTGTGTAAGCTCAAACAACTGGTAAGATAGAAAAGGAAAACCCTAAATCAGGTTGTTTTTTTTTTTTTTCTCACTATATATCTAAGGGTTTCTACTATGTTTTTAATTACACAGTCATGCTGATCAAAAAGTCATGACGATTAAAGAGATATTTATGCCTTATGTTTTTATTTGTTCATTTACTCATTCAGTAGATATTTATTGAATACCTACTGTGTTCAAAGCGTCATGGACTTCTAAAATATCAATGTCGTTAGAGAGACAACACAAAGCCATATCATTACCCCTTCACCTCCTTTCCTCCTTTTAGTGGAGTCAGATAAGACTGGGAAGAGTCTTCTCTTAATTCTTAAAAGGCACAACTCAGACATTATCACCATCATTTTAATGTATTGAACTTCCATTAAAGCAGTTCCAATGAAGAGTTTGTCTCCATTCTTCAGGAATCTGTGATCAATGAAAGGTAGATTAGGTGGGTATCGGAAAAATCAGGAATATTGATAGAGATTACACTAATAGTAGAAAATAGTCTGTGCTTTTAGTCTGGAAACAATGATACAGAACACCTGGGAAGCACTGTAGATGGTCGTTTTTATGCAAATCACGTCTCCCAGAATCCTTAAAATGGGATTGTTCTCATATGCTTACAGAATGAGAAGGAAGAGTTAAGAATGATTTCCAGATTTCTGGCTTAGGAGACTGAATAAGATGATAGTGTCACTCAAAAGTATAAAATAACAAGAGCACTTAGAACTAAAGGGAGATAGCAAATTTCATCTGAGCTGTGTGCCTGGGAGACATGCAACAGGAGATTTCCAGACAACAGCTCTACACCCATACTGGAGGGCAGGTCTCCCAGAGGCTGGGTTGGAGAGAGGTCCTGGGGAGTGATCACAGCAGAAGGAATAGTTCAAGCCATGGAATAGCACAGGGAATGTGCACACGGCCGAAAGAGCACAGCACACAGGACAGAATCTCAAAGAGCACTAGACGCTAGAAACACTTCTTTTAAATGTTAGAGGAAACAGAGCTTCAGGATATGGACAGATAGAAGTCAACAGAAAGGGGGCGGGAAAACTAATCAGGAAAACGAAGAGAATGATGTCAGAAGGAACTAGGAGAAACATTTAATAAAAGGGGAAGGTCAACATTCTAAAAGTCACAGCTCAAGTAAGCTAAGCACTAACAGACTTAAATAGATTAGTAAATATAAAGGTTACGGCTGATTTTTGTCAAAGCAATTTTAGGAAAGTGGAGAGATGAGAAGCCATGTTTTTTGGTGTGTAGATCAAGGATGCTATGTGAACATGTAGCTTTCTGTCATAAAGTTAAGAAATGACTTAAATAACTTTCCCTAAAAAAAGGAAATAGATAAGAGAGTAGCTGAAGGGGGGCTGTGGAAATTTGAAGATCATCTGTTGTTTATATCCTGAGGGTTGAGGAAATGATAAAAGAGAAAGAAAAAAAGTGCTGTAGAAAGATACCATTGTGAGAAAGCAAAAACATCTGATTTATTCCCCTTAAAATATGACATGGGCGTTCCTGTAGAGCTAGGCAGGGATCATGTCTCAATCATTAACTTAGTTTCTGACAGCTCTTAAACTTGCATGCATTTTCCAGGTGAGAGAGTGAGGCTAATGCTAAATAAAGAAAGGCTTACATTTCCATGATTATTTACCCCAAACGAGGGCGCTCCTGGCAGGTAGCCCGTGACTTTCACAGATGACAGACGGAGTTCTGCTGTCTGCCGTGGGGAGGCGGGGGAGGCGGGTGGCAGGAACGGTCCTTTGAACCTAGTGCTCCCTCCTCTTCCCTGTGCACTGCCTCTCAGCACACTTAGTGAGCAGGACTGAATGAGTCACGTAAATCCAGCTCCTGAGTCCAAAATAAGATAGATTTTGAAAAACAAACTTACAATCAATTAATGCAATAATGTCTGAAAATGAGATTTAAAAAATTTTCATCTTTCTTCAAAAGGCCTACGATTCTTTCCTCAAATATGAAAACTGGAAGGTATTATCTTAGATATGTATGCTAAAGAAAAGCAATAGCAGTGAAACATAACATCTTGCAGTAAATTAAATGTAAAATATCTGTTATGGTGAGAAAATATTCACTTAAAAAAGTATTTCGAATAAAGCTGCCAGTAAGAATCAGAGATACAAACATAATTTCTATAAAACAGAGCCTAACACCACGTTTAATGCCAACATTAGTTTTGGCTTCCTAGATTGCATTTTAAAATATTTAAATACAGTTTTCTATCTCTTTTTACCTTAATCAAACACAATATATCTACATAGAATTCCAGAAACGGTCTTATATGAGAAACAAACAAAAATTTAGTTCCATATAAACAGAATTCATTGGTCTTGATTTTTTTTTAATTCAATTTTTTGAAAGATCTTCAAGAAAAAAAAAAAAAAATTACTTTAAAATGTCTGTTGTTACACTTGAAACCAAGGCTGTCTTAAGTTGCCTGCTGGTAAATCAGGTCTAGATATTAGTACATCACAGCATCATTGGAACTGTGAATTCAGGGTGAAAATTGCCCTGAATTATTGTTATAGAATCTATTGTTAGAATGTCCTGTGCTGGGCTGCCCAGGACTGAGGTACCGTGGCTGTTGGAGGGGTTAAAGTTGGAGCCACTGATGCATATATATTAGGGAGGATTCATAAAAACACGACAGTGAGCCTGGGTCAATCCACTACTGAGAATGAGCAGTGACCAATAGAAAGGGGAGAAGATCATCCAAGAAGACTGAGGTAAGCAGGCTTCTGACGCCCTGTCAACGTGGAAACGATAGATCAAAAGGTGTTCATGGTGACTGGTCAGAGTAGGTTCTATTTTTTCTCATAGAGGGCTTGACAGCATGAAATAAAAATAAATTACATTAGACAAAGTTTTTTTTTTTGTTTTTCTTAACTGAGTTTTAGCAAACTTCAGACCCAGACACAGGACTCAACGGTATATTTCCTGGACAGCAAGGTAAACGATTAAAACTTTTTTTTTTTTTTAAATGCTTAAAGTTAAGAATTTGAAGTTTTGATTCATCAGAGGCAGGGTTACAGCTTCAATAACCAAAACAAATCCCTATTCTGAAAAAAAAGGGGGGAAATATTTTCATGTCTCTGCTGGAAGACAACCAGACCAGCATTCTGCAATTGTAAGAAATTTGACAGCTTGCGGAAGCAACTCTACACTTGTCATTTCCCTCAATTTAGCAGCGAAATGGAGAGATCAGCACTTCATAAATGACGCTGGTTTGCTTGACCTCTTTTTTTAAGGAATCAGTAACATTTATTCAGTCCTTATTATCAAGCAGTTGAACTAAATATATATGGTCAAATGTTACATATATATATATACATATATATGTATTTTTTTCCTGTTAAAATAGTTTATTGTACCTATAATCTTGTTTCTATTCGATGGGGAGGGTTCACGTTGTTGAGATGTATTATTTATCAGTAAATATTAATCTATTCTTTATTCGCGGCCATACTGAAAATATGGAGCTCCATCTGCACCCTAAACAGGATCATTGTTTGGTTTTATTTCTTATCAACCATAGAAATGCCATAACTAAATGCATTATTAACCTAATTGAGACACGGAGTTCATAATTCGTATTTCTTGGCTGAACAATTTGATTCTGTACTTTATAATATTAGAAGTTCCCCCCCACACCCCAAAAATAAAACTTACCTGAGAAGTTGAGCAACAGAGTAAAAGATTAATCACACACTTTTCTTCAGATCTTAAAACCTTCTTCTCAACAAACCGCTAAAATGGTCTCTGATTGCTCTGTCTTTGGTTCAAGGCCCAGAGCCTGGGAAATCTCATCCAGATGTTCTGCTCATTTAGCAATAAAAGTAAAAGCATATGCCTGCTTCCTAGGAACAACACGGACTCTCCACTTGAATTATTTAAAGGTCACTGTTTTGTACTCTTGTATTTAGCTCCAGATTTCAGCCAACGTCCTTGCATTAAATAGCTTGACATGGAAAAGCACTTAGAACTCTTAAAAGTTGCTTTTCACTTTTCATTGTGATTAGGTGAAAACCAGAAAGCGACAAGTTGGTGAGTCAGTTTCAGTATTTGCAAAATGCTTGGCATAAAGTGCCTACTAAATCAATGGATATAAATTAATATCTATGTATAAAATGTTGATAGGTGCTTACCTTTTGCTCAAAGAAGCAATGTTTAGTGGTCAGCATGGTGCATACAGTTCTCCAGAGATCAAGGCCTTCCATATCTCACAGTTGCGTCCTTTATTACAGGTACCATAATGGCAACCACAATCTGTTTCGTTGTCTGGGTGGTATTCATTACGGATTCTGTATGGACTCGAACTGTGAGACAGGTCTACGAGGGACCTGATCCAGAGGTCTGGACTGTGCAAGACTTTGATTGTCCCAGGGAATGTTTCTGTCCCCCCAGTTTTCCTACTGCTTTATACTGTGAAAACCGTGGTCTCAAGGAAATCCCTGCTATTCCTTCAAGGATCTGGTATCTGTATCTTGAAAACAACCTGATAGAAACCATTCCCGAGAAGCCGTTCGAGAATGCCACTCAGCTGAGATGGATTAATCTCAACAAGAACAGAATAACCAACTATGGGATTGAAAAAGGAGCCCTAAGCCAACTAAAGAAGCTGCTTTTCCTGTTTCTGGAAGACAATGAGCTAGAGGAGGTTCCTTCTCCACTGCCAAGAAGTTTAGAACAACTACAATTAGCTAGAAACAAGGTGTCCAGAATTCCTCAAGGGACCTTCAGCAACCTGGAGAACTTGACCCTTCTTGACCTGCAACACAACAAACTATTAGACAACGCCTTTCAGAGAGACACCTTCAAGGGACTTAAGAACCTCATGCAGTTAAACATGGCCAAGAACGCCCTGAGGAATATGCCACCAAGATTACCAGCCAACACGATGCAACTGTTTTTAGACAACAATTCCATTGAGGGAATACCAGAAAATTATTTTAATGTCATTCCTAAAGTGGCCTTCCTGAGACTAAACCACAACAAATTATCAGATGCAGGTCTCCCTTCCAGTGGTTTTGATGTGTCATCCATTCTAGATCTTCAACTGTCTCACAATCGACTCACGAAGGTTCCCCGAATCAATGCTCACCTGCAGCACCTTCACCTGGATCATAACAGAATTAAAAGTAAGTAACCATGAGGGTACGTTTTTGACTCAAATGTTCATGGTCATTAAATGTGTTCTCTCTCTTTTCTTACATAGTAATTCTGTTGTTGTTGCTTTCCCCCAAGTAATGTGCCCTTAGATTTTTTTTTAAGCGTAATTTCAATTTTTGAAGTGTATTAAGTTTTATGTATTTACAGATGGTTCCAATGAACCAAAAAATTTCAATCTTCAAATTTCAGATTTAAGAGTGGACCTGAGCAATCCACAGAGGGCAATTATCGATTGAGAAACAAAATGTCTCTATCTTGAACTCCAAGGAGATTCTGATTTTTCTGCCTCACTGAGTATATTTATTTAAGAGAGTGCTCCAGGCACAAACAACTTCATGTATAGTAATAGAAGGAATACAATTTAGAGGTCATCACAGAGGCATCTTTGCCCTGAAAACCACAGCACAGCTGGTGCCTGAAGCCACCATCATGACGGTCTCTGCTTTAGCTCCAGGGGTTTCTCAGACTTTGGTGAGCACAGGCTGGTGGCCCCACTTCAGAGTTTCTGATTGAGTAGGTCTAGAGGGGACCAGATGCTTGTCGCTTCTAACAAGTTCCCAGGTGATGCTGAGACTGCTGCTTTGGGGACCATGTTTTGGGGGCCAAAACTGTAGTTTGAGGCTACATGGAAACAAAGGACCCTGGAAGTCGGCAACTCCTTAGGACTAATGGCAACCGACAAGGTGGAATACCCTCTCCTTTCCTGAAAATAGCTTTTCATAAGCGCAGGCGAGATGAGTGTCACGTGCCTTTGAGTCAGTGACCCCATCAAGGAGAGAACTTGTTACAGAAAGAAGAGGCTGGAGACATTACAGGCAAACTTGGCACCTTCACAGTGATGCCTGAGATCAGGTTGATGTGGTGTGGCTGGATAATGTCTTGGTGCAGCCACAGGAGTATTGGTAGCAGCCTGGTGCCTATCCACGCATCCTCAACCCCAGCACAAGCCCTTTAGGAAGGTGATCTTGAGAAGACTTCTCCTGAACAACCTTAGCAACACATGCCTAAAGTGAGAATGGTTTGTAGAAAAATAACACAAATAAATGTCAGAAGGTTATGTTGCCTAATTATTACAAACTAAGATTTTTTTAAGTATATAATCACATAAACATCCTATTTATAAGAATAGACAGTTTTCTACTGGGTACTGCTGTTATTCAAGATCTGGTTGGTTTCTCTAACAGCATGGTTGAGCATAAAATCCAGAAGCAATAAGCAAGCTGTTGCCATGGCAGTTGTTTTCTATGGTGACGAAACATGCTGTTTAAGTTCATAGTCAAAAGCAAAAGGTGCAACAATACTAAAATGTTAATAGACTGTTTCACTGAACCAGATAATACAACAGCCAATATTGACCTAAAGACGTGCAATTTTTTCCCAGTGAAAATTCTTTATGTCTGCAGGTGCATTCCTCAGATTGACAACAAAAGCCTCATACATATTTGATGTGGGAAGTTAATTTCCAGTGATTCCATGTAAATCCCTGTTTGTGAATTAGGAATTCCTCTGACAATTTGAGAATGAGGGTGTCTAGGAGTGAAGTCGCAAAATTCAACACACAGGTGGGCACATGTGACCTTACATCATTATACAAAGTTACACACAGAAGAATAGGGCCTTGTAGTTCCTTCATTCACATTTTAGAGAGTTTTTACAAAGTGTTTTCTCATGTGTTTCTATTTTTCAATTGTTCTCGTAGCATAGCGTGTATCAGAATCACCTGGAAGGCTATCTGTCTGAGGCCTAACCGTTTAGTTCCCGGGTAGAGTATTGATATTTCTGGTCCAGGGACCACACATTAAGGGTGACAAGTTAGCCCTAAAAGCGCCTTGTATGCTATTATTAGGAATGTCTGAAGAAAGAGAAACTGAGGCTCAACTAAGGGAGGCTATTTGCTAAGAACAAAGAGTAAATATAATATCAGGAACCTGAGCCCAGGGCCGCTCATTTTAAATTTATTTTCCCCACTCATCCAGTATAATCACAGTACATTTTCCTTCGATTCTGAGACTACAAAACTTTAGAAAAATTTCTATCAATAACTTTAACAGCAACAACATCAACAAAGATTTGATTTATTTGCTTTTTAATGTTGCTATAAAGCATAGTCGTTGTTATATTCCAAGAAAATAAATTGAAAAACGAGGATTTCTCTGGCGAGAATTATTGGCTTACCATTATATTACACTCTGTTATAATAATTGTTAAAGTACTTAATTCTTCTGGTTACATAATCTACTTTAGTTATTAATAACATGGATTCCAAGAAATATACCTTATATATGAAGAATTCTCAGAATTTACAGGCAGAAACTTGTCTTATATAAAGTGATGGCAACACTTATTTATTTCTTCTGAGCACCTTGAAGGACTTTGCATTTGGCAAAATGTTATATGTTCAAATCAGTTACTTCTAGGTGGCCTCTCAGAAACAACATGATTAATTTATAAAATATAACTGAATTTGGAACACATGTTTCTTATGTTCTATTTATTCACACATGCATTGACTATGGGGCACAGGGGTGATCGGACGAGAAGATGGCACACAGAAGGCCACAGTCTCTCCAGTAGGCAAGGGACCCTGTGCAGGAGGACAAGGGCTAGGCTGGGATCCAGCTCTGACCTCAGCTGCTGAAACACCTTGTGTGCCTTACCTTGCTTGTCTGAACCACTGTTCCTACACTACCCAGATGGGGAGAGTCATACTGCCTGATAAAGGCTGTGTGATGATAAGGTGATAACATAGGTGAAAAAAATAACCTTGTAAACACAAAACAGTTATACAGATATGACTCATTTTTAGCTAGTTCAATTCACTAAATGGCATAAGATCATAGTAAAGTGACCTCACTTTAAACATAAAGTCCTTCAATACAATACACATATTTATGTGCCAATAGGACACAAAGGGAAGCCATGGCCCGAATTAGGTGGGTCTCATCTTCTAAGGATGAATTCTTGCTCCAGGTAGTTTTAAAATGGGCTTTAAAGACAGCATACGGATTCTTGGTTGAGATCAGCAATAACACTTCTATGAATTTTGCTAGTTTAACAGATCTCGTGTCCTGAATGCTCCTATATCTCAGTGCAGTCACTGATGCCAAGGGCTCCGCTCCAAGGCAGGTGCAGGATTTCTCACACCCTCGCCATCTCAAGAGGCTGAGGGCATATTTCCTGGCTAGAATTCTTTGTAATTCAATTCTTGGCAAATGTTTCCTTTCCAATTAAATACATTTAAATATAAAGATCCGTGTTATTTTTATGCATTACAGTATATACTCATATTGATTGTACTTTTTTTTTAAATCCTCACCCGAGGACATTTTTCTATTTTTTGTTCAGATAGAGTGGGAGGGAGAGAGAGAGAGAGAGAAACATCGATGTGAAAGGGACACATCGAGTGGCCGCCACCCACATGACCAACCAGGGCTGCGGACAAACTGCAACCGAGGTACATGCCCTTAGCGGGAACCAAACTCGGGTCTCTCTGGACCGCAGGCTGACGCTCTAACTGCTGAGCCAAACTGGCCAGGCCTGATTGTACTTTTTAAAAGATGTGTCGTTATAGACTATTAATTTGAAATTTTGCATTTTAAGGTAATTTTCTAAGCACTTTTTCGAATGGACTGATTTTCTATTTACACATTCATCCACCCATCCATCCACCCACCCACCCATGCACTTACCCCAAATCTTACCTGTTTCTGCCTATAGTAATCTAAGCATGCTTTATCTCACCGTGTTTCCATCACAGCTTTTAACAACATGTCCTCTCTAGTGCTCCGTATTAAGTATAGCCGAGTATAGTGAGATGACCATGCATATATTGCCCATTTTTGCAGGAATACCTTTATGAAATGAATATGTATAACTCTCAACTTACACAAAAATGGTTTGTATCTCTTCCACTTTCTAAGTCATACGACTGGCCCTCCACAGACTATTTAGTAGTGTCTTGGTCTTCTCTTCCTTGGCCTCTTGTGTTCCAATTGATTCATTCATACTCTCATTGTCTCCCCAGATGTGAACGTCTCTGTAATATGTCCCACCCCTGCCACACTGCCTGTGGACCAAGACATCTTCAGTTACGGCCCGCATCTGAGCTACCTTCGTCTCGATGGAAACGAAATCCAATCACCAATCCCAATGGATTTAATGACCTGCTTCCGGCTCCTTCAGACTATCATTATTTAAACACATCTTCAACCATCTAAAATCGGTTCAATACACTAATATTTCTGACACGAAATTCAGATAACATTCATAGGTTTAAAACAAAAATTACATTTCCAATTGCTCTTGGCCACCATTTTCATCTATGCAGTTGTACAGTTTAGTTTTTTATTCAAACGTGCTTTCACTGAAGGTATGTAGAACAGCCTACTATTTTTTCAGAGAGAGCGAGGAAGGGAATGACAGGGACAGAGAGAAACATCCATGTGAGAGAGATACATTGATCAGTTGCCTCCCATATGCACCCTGACTGAGGATCAAACCCAAAACCTGGGTATGTGCCCTGACCAGGAATCGAACCTGCAACCTTTTGGTGTACGGGACGATGCTCCAGCCAGCTAAGCCATCTGGCCAGGGCCAGCCTACTTTTTTTTTTTTTTAATAAATAAAACAGACACAGAGTTAAGTAGTTTATCAACTCAAAGATAAATCATTTTTGTATCTTTTATAGCTTGTTAATACCAAACAATTCAATGGCATTGTTTGGCCATAGAAAGAACGTGTTTGTTTGCATATGTTCAAAATTGCTTATGTAGATACTATATTTACAGTATAAATACAGTAACCCAACAAGAAGCAGGATGATCTGAAGAAAATAAAAAATAAGATCTCTATCATAATTATAAAGAAATAATAAAATGCAGATAGTTAAGTAGCTTTTGTAGGGAAAAGTTTAGTAGTCAGCTCAAGAAAGGATAAGAAATACATCAGTTACTTCATAATGAGAGAGTTTTAGTCATTTAATATCAAATGACAGAGCAACAGTAATTTTTAGTTTACTACTATTTTCTACAGCTGCTGTTCCTAGATATAGAACCATGTACTCCAGCGATTAAACTCCTGAGCTTCTTACATTTATTATAAAACATTTCTGACAGAATTTTAGTATTTTAACATTTGAAATCCACTTGAATTGCAGCATTCAGTTCATATATTTGTCAGTGTTTTTTGTTTGTTTGGATTTTTTAAATAAAAAGAGTGAATGCTTTCTAACAAAACAGAAGTTAAATAATTATTTCAGGGACATTACTCATAAGTTTTATTAGAAACACATTTGAATAGAAAGTGTTATAGTAACAGTTGTTCCCATTTTTCTAACATGGATGTATGCACATATATTTTTCTTTTTTTTTCCTTTTCTTCCAGTAAACACAAGAAGAAATTCTTATTCCAAGTATCTGACATAGCTGTTTTTCATGAGGTAAAAAATTAATCCAGGATTTTGTTAAGTAACAAAGTATAGTCCACTTTAGACTTCTGATTTTGTAAGGCATATACTATAATCAATAAACATTCCATAGAGATTAATATGTGCCTTTATATATTTTTCCAAAAACAGTATTCTAAAAAACCATATAAAATTCGAAAAACTTCTTTAGAGAAAGAAATATATATATTTGTGAAACACCAGATTAAAGAAAGTCAAACATATTACTTTCCTCCAAAGCTTCTCAGAAATTTAATATGTTATTCTGTAATGTGAATTTCTCAGAAGAGATTATAATGTGCAGGATTTCCTACTTATTTTCATAGAGAAACTTATTTGGGGATGGGAGGGAAAAATCAACTAACACACTTTGAAAATAGTTTTTAAATACAAGAAGTAAAATTAATTGACATTAAGAATGCTTTTTTAAAAGACTGCAAAGCACATAACAAATTATGTCGTCTACAATTATGTCATAAAATATAGATAATCAGATATCATTAGGCTGAGGGAAAAGAATATGTTGAGAGAAACATAATAACTTTAAATATTTGAAAACTGGCCCTGTGAAAAGGGGATAAAACATATTCTAGGAAGTTCCAAAATGAAGAGTAGACCATATGGGTAAAATTTAGGATTAGTGCTAGCCAAGAAAGAATTTTCTAATAGTTGTTCAGAGTCACTCAGCAAAGAGAGCAACTTTCCTTGAGGTATAATTACCCACCACTGGAACAAAGAATGAGCGATAATTCAAGAGAAAGAATATAAAAATGATTCCTGACCTATAAGCAAAGCTGTGAAATGTTCCTCTCTAGGCTTTTTCAATTCTAAGAGTTCCATTTCTCCCTTTCTTCCTCCTTCCTTCCCTCCCTCCCTTTCTTCTTTTTCCCCGTTATTTCAGAAAATATATTTTGAGCACCACATGTGTACCAGACTATATTATACATAAGAGATATAATAGTGCACACAGTTTATACCATATGATAGTGGATAAGACAAACATTAACTGAATAATCACAAATCTGTGATAAGTGCTATTACCAGAGCTGCACGGTGCAAAGGAATTTGTAATAGTGATTTGATGTTTGTATCTTGCTTATGTGACAAAGGCCTTCTATCTAGAATATGCAATGCAACCTCAAAATCCTTCAGTAAGACAATCCACTTAGAAAATGAGCAAAAGGTAGCCCTGGCCAGTTTGGCTCAACGGTTAGAGTGTTGGCCGGTGGTCCAGAGAGACCTGGGTTTGATTCCCACAAAGGGCACGTACCCCAGTTGCAGTTTGTCCCCGCCCGGTTGGGGTCATGTGGGTGGCAGCCAGGCGATGTGTCTCTCTCAAGTCGATGTTACTCTCTCTCTCTCTCCCTCCCTCTCTCCCTCTCGCTCTATCTGAAGATGAATGCAAAAATGTCCTCTGGTGAGGATAAAAAAAAGAGCAACAACAACAAAAATGAGCAAAAGACGTTTCACTGAGCAGATACAGATGCCGATGAGCCCAGGAAAAGACGTTCCACGCAGCCAGCCATTCGAGGCACGCAGATTGCAACCACAATGAAACCTCACTGCACACCTGTCAGAATGGCTAAAATAAAACAAAGCGCCATCAAGTGCTGGTCAGGTCGTGGAAGAAACACTCTTATTCATTGCTGGTAGAAATATGAAATGGTTTCGCCACTTTGAAGAACAGTTTGGCAGTTTTTTCTTTTCTTAAAAAAAATCCCCAAGTGAGGATATTTTTCCAAATAGAGTAGGAGGGAGGCAAAGACGGAGGGGGGAGAGAGAGAGAGAGAGAGAGAGAGAGAGAGAGAGAGAGAGAGATATGGAGATGGACGTGAAAGAGACACATCTGGTGGTTGCCTCCAACACGACCCCGCCCAGGGTCGGGGACGAACTGCAACTGAGGTACCTGCCCTTGGCCGGAATCGAACCCAGGTCTCACTGGCTCACTCTAACCACCGAGGAACCGACCAGGGCAGTTTGGCAGTCTTTTCTGAAGCTAAATACACAACCTCCACATCACCTGGCATGTCCATTCTTGGACACTTGTGCCAGAGAAACAAAAATGTACCTTCATGCAAAAACTGTACATGAGCGTTCAGAGCAGCTTTATCTGCAAACACGCAAGACTGGAACCAATCAACGAGTGCTGGAGCAGATGGCTGGTTGCGCACGCCAGCACTGCGCACACTGGCACAGCTACACGCCGAGGACGACCCAGCAGCAAAGGGAAGGCAGGCCTGATGTCCGCAAGGCTTGGTGCACCTCAAGGGAACTACGAGCACGGAAAAGGCCCATCTGAAAGGATCACAGGCTGATTCCATTGACATGATATTCTTTTTTTTTTTTTATTGATTAATTTTTGTTACAAATGATTCTCCTTTTTCCCCCCACTGATTCCCCCCTCCCCCTTCCCTCCCTGCCCCTTCCCCAGATTGTTGTCCATGTCCACTGTTCATGCATACATGCATGTAAGTTCAGTGGTTCATCCCTCTCTCACCTCCCCACTCCTTAGGGGATTGTCCTCAAACTGTTATGTTCATTATATTCCACAAATCAGTGAGATCATATGAAATTTGTCTTTCTCTGTTTGGCTTGTTTTGCTTAGGATGATACTTTCCAGGTCCCTCCATGTAGTCTCAAAGGATAAGAGATCTTTCTTTCTTACCGCTGCGTAGTACTCCACTGTGTATATGTACCACAGCTTTTTAATCCATTCGTCTACTGATGGGCACTTGGGCTGTTTCCAGATCTTAGCTATTGTAAATAGTGCTGCTACAAAGATGGGGGTACATATATTCTTTCTGATTGGTGTTTTCTGCTTCGTAGGGTATATTCCTAGAAGTGGGATCACTGGGTCAAATGGGAGATCAATTTTTAATTTTTTGAGGTGACACCATATTGTTTTCCATAGTGGCTGCACCAGTCTGCATTCCCACCAACAGTGTACTAGAGTCCCCTTTTCTCCACACCCTCGCCAACACTTGTTGTTTGATGATTTGTTGATGGCAGCCATTCTGACAGGTGTGAGGTGATACCTCATTGTTGTTTTGATTTGCATCTCTCTGATGATTAGTGATGATGAACATTTCTTCATATATGTCTCTTGGCAATATGCTCAATTAATATTTGACAAAGGTGCCCTGGCCGGTTTGGCTCAGCGGTTAGAGCGTCGGCCTGCGGTCTGGAGAGACCCGGGTTCGGTTCCCGCTAAGGGCATGTACCTTGGTTGCAGTTTGTCCCCGGCCCTGGTTGGTCGTGCGGGTGGCAGCCACTCGATGTGTCCCTTCACGTCGATGTTTCTCACTCTCTCTCCCTTCCTCTCTCTCCCTCCCATTCTATCTGTACCAAAAATGGAAAAAATATCCTCGGGTGAGGATAAAAAAAAAAAAAAAAAAATATTTGACAAAGGTGGCAAGAGCATACAGTGGAGTAAGGACAGCCTCTTTAATAAATGGTGCTGGGAAAATTGGACAGCTACTTGCCGAAAAATGAAACTAGACCATCAACTTACACCCTACACCAAAATAAACTCAAAATGGATAAAAGACTTAAATGTAACTCATGAATCCATAAAAATCCTAGAGGAGACTGTGGGCAACAAAATCTCAGACATCATACGCAGCAGAATTTTTACTGACACATCACCTAAGGCAATAGAAACAAAGGAGAAAATGAACACATGGGACTACATCAAACTCAAAAGCTTCTGCACAGCGAAAGATACAATCATCAAAACAGAAAGGCTACCCACTGTATGGGAGAGCATAATTGCCAATGATATATCAGATAAGGGGTTAATTTCCA